AAAGATAAAATAGAGACAACTAATTTTCTCAGAGGTTGCAACACAACCTCTCCCCCTCCTCCACATGCAGTCACTGCACTGGCAGGATAAGCTGGAGATTCTCCAGCGTAAGCAAGAAGGCACAATAAGGTGTGCAGGCCCTTCTCCACCCCGATACCCACAGCCCTTGGGGGTACCACAGAAAGCAAAGGCTGACAGCCCAGCGGCTCAAAGGGAGGTGGTGACATTCCTCCGCCTGCTTGTTTCAATTGCGTTACCATTTTTCAGAGGGGGACGTGAGAAACGCACATTGCTCGATGCTATGTTGAGACAATAATGAGCGTAAGGGAGTTGCAGACTCCTGTTGTACCAATTGGTGGCTGGGTTCTGAACTCTCATTGTGTGATCCGATTTCTCCTGTCATCCAAGCCATTTTGCAAACTCCAAGCATACGTTCGTTTAAGCCATGTGTCCTGAAATCTAAACAGCTGAAGGGGATGGGAGGGGTAGGGAGAGAGGAGAACCACTGGATTTCTGGTGACAGTGTCTAAAATACACATTTGCACAAGGAAGTCTCACTTTAGATAGTCACTTAGCAAAACAACTACAGCTGCTGACAGGCGAGAGGTACAGTTTCAAGTGACCATCAGACGTAAAATAGGCCAAATAAATTACTGCAGTCCAAAGGGAGTGGGTGTGCGTACTCCCACAAATGTAACAGAGATAACAAATGGATTACCAATGGGTGACCCAACGTCAAGATTAGCAGACCCAGGTCTCATTTCAGTTACACCGTAGCAATGACATTACCTAAGATCTAGCAGAAGCGAAACTGAAATCAGAGTCCGAGCCAGGATGTCAGGGAGGCAGCTGCTTTAGTTTTTTAATGCCTAGAATTTCAACCCAGTTTGCTTTGTTTCAGGAGTCTAAGCTGTCTTTGGCAGAAGGGCTAGCAGCCTTTGCCAGCTGCCACGTGATCTGCAAGGATGTTTTCTAAATGGAACTGGTTGGGGTGTGTGTGTGTGTGTTGTTTGTTTGGGGTTTTTTTGAGGTGGGGATGGGGGAGAGGAGGTGGGGGGATGTTTGTGATGAAGGCAGACATCATAAGTAGTATATTGGCATTTTTTGTCCCTTTCCTCAAAGGTTTTTTTTTTTCCTTTATTTCCGTTCCCTGCCCATATATACACTTACCCTCTCTCCTCTGTGCTCTCCTACCCGTAGACCCATCTGTTCTTTGAAAGCATCAAGAATGCCAGTTCTGGTCTTTGTGGGGTCTTTGAGGAGACATTGTGTGAGCACTTACTCCCTGACTGAAGTAAAATACAAGCTTTTTTATATGCATATAAATAATTTTTAAGCTTTCCAAATATTAATTGCTTACGGAAATTAAACATCTGCTAACAATAAACTCCCCATACAAATGAGAAGATAGTTTCAGTCTGACTAAAATGCTTTCCCTTGCTAATTGCTAAGAATACCATTTTCTTGTCTTTTACAATGGCAATTTCATTAGTTCTCCAATTATCAAAATATTTTAGTCCTTCCTGTTTCATGACAGAGAGGAAAAGGTCCAATTCCCATCTCCAACTCAACTTTCAGAGTCCTGCAAAACCAAGCGAGAAGCTGGCAATTACAACTAGCCACGACAAGTCCTCGGGGCAGACACTGACTACATGGGTTGCAGAGTCCACCTGCACACCTTCTCTCCCCACATCGCCCACAGTCCCCCAGGAGTCCGCCAAATTTTCACAAGTATTACGCTACAGACTACATCTGACTGTGGCAACTAGGTACTGCAAGTGCAAAGAGCAGCCGAAATGCTGATAACGCGAGAATACTTAGAATAGCTGATGCCAGGGGGAGAGAAGGGGGCCACCAGCTGAATTTGCATCACACAAGGAAATAAGTCAGTTGGGTAAAAGCCCCCATATTGCTGCTTGGGAACATAGAGCTAAAAGGGCTTTCACTGCTTGGAGAACTGCAGATCTCCTCCAGCTTCTCATCTTGCTCTGTGCAACTTGGTGCAGAAACATAAAGAAAAAATTTCCAAACCCCACAGTATTTTATTATACAGGAAAAGCAACTAGTCCTTTGCACGAGGATGTTTTCTGCATTCAAGAACCTCAAAGCACTTAGCTGCGGTACCTGCCCTCTATCCACTTAAGGGATGAAAGGCCAGACCTAGCTCGCTCAAGGTCAAATAGCAAGTTCAGCAGCAAAAGATGACTAGAACTCAGTTACATCCAAATCACATTCAACCGTTCTAGCCATTAGACTGAAGAGACATTAAACGCCCTTGTGGCGTCAAGAATGACTAATGCCCTCCCGGGTCAGCCTGTGATAAAGAACTGGGAACTCGCAGATCTCCTTCCTCTGCCTCCCACTCCTCTATTCCTACTCCAACATTGTTCCAAAGCCCACATGATGAGATTTTCCTAATCAGCAATTAAATAGTTAATGCTTACATTACAGCAGATGGAACAGGAGTTGCTGCAGGGAAGGTATGCAGAGGGAAGGAGGAGAAAAGAGACAGCAAGGAGGAAAAAGCAGGCAAAGAAACAATCCTGAAGGAAAGCAGTTTTCCCACCAAAAGGAGTGATTAGTTGACTAGACAACGTAACCCTTAAGACTTTGTCTAGACTAGGATAAAATGCTATATTGTTGAAGGCGTTTGAGAGGCATGGTGTAGGTAAGGCTCACGGCCTTTGAGCATGTCTAATTAGGACGTGTTCGCTAACACATCTTAATGTTCCACTTTTAAATCCTTGCCCAAGAACTCAAGGCTATGCAATGCAAAGGTCTCTGTGCTAACGATTATAAAAGCCAAGCTATGACACAGTGCAAAGAAATCAGAATGTCGAGGAATCGCTCGTTGATGTGAAGTCTCACATCCAGCATTTTTCATACGCTCATTGAACGCCTATGAACATCTGCATCTTAAAATATTCACCAGCATTTCACTAGATAACCCACTATGACATTTTTCCTCTAAAAATCTAATCAAAGCTCCAAATGCCAATAGGTAAAGAGACCACAGGCTAACAGCCTACCCTCTTGTGAAACTTCCCCTTTTGCTCCAGTGTTTGCTTGGGCAGATCTGGGAAGGAACAAGCAGGGGGTGGGAAAGAAGAGAGGACCAAGAAAAGTGTGCCCAGGGCCTTAGCAACACCTTCATTTTGATAATCCATTACAGATTTGTAATTAAAATCAAGTCCCACCTCACTAGCACAGCCAGATGCATCCACAGAGAACTTGTTCAGAGAGTTGTTACAATAAATACCAAGAGAATTACTAATGTTGTAGCTTCTTCTTAACCCTTCCAGCAGTATTTCAGGAACCGCCTGTCAGTTTGAAAGACTGATCGTTTTTTCTCTCAGCTCGTTGCAGGCTCTAGGTGTGCCCCTAACCAAATAGGCTTACCACTTAAAAGCTTAATTGCACCTGTGGCTTAAACCTTATCCCAGACAACACTCGGGAGCATTTGGATTTGGGCGTTTCAGGTGTGGGACTGGGGCCTGCGCTCACAAACAGAGCTAGGCAAGTCAGAATAGGAGCCCCTGGTAAAAGCAGACTCTGTATGCCAGGGAGCGAGGGATGGGGAAGAAAGAAGTGCTTTTTCCATTTTGATCACATTTATCTGTATTTACATTTCCACAGTTGGGCTTGAGTAATGTCCATCTCCTTGTTTGTGACTGAGGGCAGGTTTCACAGTCTCAGATTTCTTTTCCACAACAAAAAGATCAAAGTTTGACCCACTTGTGCAACTTAGGTGTTTACAGTGAACTGGTCTAATCGCATGGCAAGCCCTCCCTCCCGTTATCAGTCTCGCACCGAGCCAAGCTCCTTCATTCCATATGCACCAGGAAGGACTGAGAGGAGAGAGCCCACGTCTGGCATGGGTTATAACCCACCGTCCCTTCTGTCACTCTTACATGGGGAACTAAAATACAGGGTGCTACGGAAGGGTTTAACACGTTCCAGTGAAGATCCGTTCAGGGTCTCTTCTGCAGGGCTGACAAGGCATTTCCAGGCTGTATTTTTAGAGGCTTTCTAAAAAGCAAGCAAACGCTGTGGGAAGAACCACAGTGAAAGAGTGGGTTCCCTTCAGTCACCTTCTCATCTTATTGCCAAAGGAAACCTGCGCTGCCTTTTCAAAAGTTACAGGTGAAGGAAAGATAAAGAAATATGGCAGAATAGGAGTCCATGCAGCAAGCATCCATGTTCCTAATCTCATTCTGTCTCACACAAGGATGCACAAGCTTTCTGGGTCTCAGTTTTGTAAGCTATGAAATGGAGATAAATTTTAGGGGTTTGTGAAATTGTTTTAATTAATAATTGCAAAGCGCACATCTTCAGATGGAAGGTATCATATAAATATTAATGAGCTCTGACTACTGGCAGTATGCGTGTCTCTTAGGAATCATAAGCACCACGGATGGATCAAAGAGGACATGTAGCTCTGAGAGACAGAGTGGTGGGAGTTGGCTCTGTGTTTAACTATATTTTAAAGTAGATCCTCAAGACTGTTGTGGATATTCCCTATCAGGTTACAGCAGCTTTCAATTAAAATTACATTTTATCCTTAGGCAAAATTCCACAGTGTACCTTTTAATACTAGCAGGGCACATTTTCACTCGTGTAGATATTTCTTCTACATACCCGCATTACTAGATCTTTGTAAATAGGGGTCAAACTAACTGGGAAATAGGGATTTTACCTTCATTTTCATCTAAATAAATACCCCTTACCTAGTTACATTACTGAAGAACTTCCTGCTCTACTGGCGATGCCGTGACAAGAAGTAGGATGAGGACGTGGCAGCTGTTTGCTTCGCAATGTTCATAGATCAGTCTGGCAGCACTTCAGACATGGAACCGTCCTTTGAATGAACATGGCAGAAAGCGCCGCGTGGTAAAGATGCTGCTTCTGTTCTCCCTGGCAGTCATCTCCCGAGCACGAGCAGCACAAAACATGGCTACGGACAGGCTTGAGAGAGGCCCAAGTCCCTAGTGGGGCTCTGAGTGGGTGCGTTGGTGCAGTGAGAGGGGCAGCATTGCAGCGTGGCCTCCGGAGCCCTGGCGCCGGCTGCCCTGCTGGGCAGGCATGCTGGGGAGGAGGCTTGCAGCCTCCTCAGGAATGCGGGATGGCCGCAGGCCTCAGGAGTGTTTTCCAAAGAGGTGCTTACATTTGTTTCTCTTAGGGTCCATCAAACCTGTGCTTTTTTGTTGTTGGGGCTGGTGGTGGGGAATGAGGAAGAGTTGCTTTGTTGGGGTTTTTTAAAAAACATGAGAAGACAACAGGGAGCAGGGACCAAAGATCTTTCTGTCCCTGAGGAAAATTCAGTCTCATCAGCTGCCTTCTTACCCCTCTCAAGCTGTAAGACCCCGTGGCAGCTTTCTGCCCACTTCTCAGCAGCCAGGCCTTCCTAGATGCTTTGTGAGCCCAACACGTGGCCAGCCAGGGGGTCTCCAGTGACGTGCCTCCTCTGTGGGGGCTGCATTTCGTTTCCTTGACAGGTCCGCACCAATGGCCCTGTGTCCTGCTCACCTCAGGCACATCTCCAGGAGCTCTGCTTTCTGCAGTTGCTGCTAAGGCAGTGCTGTAGCTGCCTCCAGTTTTGCCTACGCTGGGGGCAACTGGGACTGATTGCTTAGTGCTGGTAGCAAGAACAAGAATCAAATGGCATAGGCATGCTCAGGGTGGTTGTAATTGTGTCCCTGAGCTGCTCGGAGGGAGTACAGCAAAGAGACAGCAGTAAGAATCCTTACCACTTCTTTGGCAAAAGAGTGAGAAATTTGGAAGATGCTTAGGACGGATGACATCTTGATAGCTAGAAAAAAAAAAAGCCCCAGAAATTAATTTCCTCCTGGGGTGCCAATAAAAGATGGGATGTTCACAACATACAGTGAATGCTGGCCAAAACAATGGTCTAATAACTTGGATCTACTTGCTGTGTTCCGTGCTAAAAGATAAGACAGAAAACATAACTATGTTTTGATACTGAATAACATAAATCTGGCCACAGTGCCAACAATTTTTAGGCAAGGAACCATAAACCCAAAACAGAGGGATGGGAGGATAATTTCTTCCCCCGGCCACACCAGGGAATTTTACACCCCTCTATGAATGATGTTTTTAGAGCAAACCCAGGCATCAGTCCTAGCAAATACCTCTCTGTAAACTCTAGCCCAAAAGAATCACTTTGGAAAGGTCATACCACCTCCTGTTCCCAGAATTAAGTTAATTAGCACTTGTCCCTCATCTGTATAAGGTCAGGGATCCTCCCACAAAGGAGGTATACAACCAGATTGTTAGAAGATGTACATATGCCCTCTTAAGCAAACAGGCTCCTTTGTAGTATCTATCACTAAGATTCCCTCTGGTCATCCCTGTAGAAGAACTCTCAATTGGAAGGGGAGCAGACTGGGAGATTAGCGTAACCAGTGCTTTGCCAGGTACGAGGAGGAGCACAGCACAGGTCAATAGGCATGCTGGTATTTTAGTACTAGGTAGCAATCTCTCTCCATCTGGATGACTTGTATCAGGTTCAGCATCAGCCATTCATGTAGTATGAAATATTTAAACTATGGAAATGTTTTCTTACTGAATTTGAAAGATTTGCAGTGCATTTTCCCCTCTGACACACTTTATTTCTTCTTATTCCATACAGGCATTTGTGCTATATATATTATTGAAGTATTTCACTTCCCCTCCATGTGACCAGCTATGTGCATTGAGAGAAAGTAAATCCAGGTAAGACCTGCTATAAGTTATATCTGGGTGCAACTGAAGTTTGATCAGCAATGAAGGTCAACACTCTGTTCTGTATTTTCTGTCTACAAAATGTTACACAGTTCTCTCACTGAAAGAAGGAAAAAATAGCCTAGCCCATACAGTTCTTGGGCACAGACACATTGTCACGCGTTGCCTGCCACAGTACTTACTGCTGGTTTACAACAGTAGTTTAAAAACAGAAACCCAAACCCAAGTGCTTAATTACAGACATGTCCATCCTAATCTAACTCTAACACAGCATAAACTATGTAGGATGCTAAACCCTACTTCCTAAGTTAGGAGCCTTTCTGACAGCCAGCCATGACTGCTTGCTCTGAGCACAGCTTCGAACCTGCTAAGCAAGAAAGGATTACACCAAGGAGGACAGGCTCTGGTTTCCCAGGCAGAACACTGCTTTGCAGGCCCATAAAAAGGGGTCCAGAGACTATTTGTGTCAACTCCCTAAACCACAAACCACGTCTAGCCCGCCATGTGAAGCACTTGCATGCTGCTCCTTGCAAAGCTCAAGCAAGATATTTTGACATCCAGATCGCCGCCTTTGGGGGCCCACCCATCCCTTTTGGTCTCTTTCCATTCCTTATCACAGACTTGCAGACCCTTTTCCCTGGGCAGCAGCAGAAATTGGGGCATATTTGCCTCCACGTTTGGCACCCTTCTGTTTCACCATCACCCTGTTATTCTGACCCAGGGTGCAGCTTACCCACCCTGCTGGATTCTCTGATACCAAGAGTGGGGTAATATGTAGAGAATCACATCTAAGAAATGTGAAACTGGCAACTCTGGCATTTGAAACAGAATGGGAATTCAGGATGCACTTGGCGTTTCAGCTTTAAACTTTAAAATAAACAAGGCAAAGCTGAACTGTAGCAAAGGAATGGCTTATGGGCAGCTCAGACTTGTCCTAGACATTTAAGCCAGTCATTTCCCATAAATACTCATAATTTTAAACATAAGAAAGGGGGAGAGGAGACAAAACAACCTGAGTCAACTGCTTACTGCCTTTCTGATTCAGAGTCCTCGGCAGATGTAAGACAGAAAATTATTCTGTGAAAAAGTTCCTTTTTATGTAACTGGGACAGCCCCCAAAATTTTTACCAGAGGGGAAGAAGAGGACAAGAACTAAACTGCGAACTTGTCCGCACCCTAGCAGGAATTCACCCATTTTTCACCTCCCACAGGTATCATTAGCATGCTACTGAGAGCAGAAAAAAAAGCAGCTAGGATCAAACACAAGCTAGTAACAAAGCTCTTCCTCTTGTCATCCTGCGATGGGCCAGAATTTCTGGCTGCAGCTCGTCCTTTCCTGAAAGGCTGGGTTAGTTCAGAGTCCCTTTTAAAAGAAGTGCCACCCTACGAACGTGCTACAGCTGCGACACAGAAAGTGCAGAAGGCAGGAAGTCTGACGTTCACACCAACCTCAGCCCCTTCACTCACACCTCTTTTCAAATAGCTTTAGCACATGGAGCCCACATTTTCACATTCTCAGAACTAGCTTTATCTATCACATTGCAAGTTTAAGAGAAATTTTTGAAATGGTACAAGTCCCTCTTTCCACATTCAAAGACTCACTCCACTGAGACAAACTTTTAAATTGTTTTTATAAACTGTTCTCCTCTCTGATTTTTGCAATAAGTTGCTACATTCCCTTTTTAAATAATCTATATAATTTTAAAAAACTAAAATATGGATTGAAACACCATACCAACTGTTGTCACAGTCCAAAAATGTCTGGATTTTCAAACTTAAGTCCACCCCTGTGTAAAAGGGCCACACACATGTAGGTGTCAATCAGACTCAGTGGCAAAACAGAGGGACCCAGGCTGAGATTTCAGAATGGCACAGACTTTCCTGGACAGAAAGAAAGTGCCAGTCCTCACCCATCCAGAATAATTTCTGCATTTTTCAATGCAGACTTTTGGAATTTGACCTCAAGAAGCCAGGTGCTTGATTTCTGCATCTCCTGCTTTGCAGTGTTTGGTAATAGAAGCAAGAAGAGAGGGAAAGAAAGAAAAATGTATTCTTTACAAGGCTACACCATAATTATACCTAATATTACCATTGTGACTGTTTTTGCAGGCAGCTCAAGAGGTCTGTTTTGTGCCCAGAAACTCTCTAGCTGATCCTGTGTATTTTTATTCCATTCTTTTAAAGAAACATTATCTCCATTCTCCTCCTCTCAGCACCAGGATTAAAATAAAATAACATTCAAAGTATTTGTGGGAAATGGCAAACAAATGGGTAGTAAAGCTTGGAGACTGCTTGGCAGCAGAAAGCCACGCAGAGAAATTAGCTATGGCAAGTAACTAAGTGAGGACAACAAAACCCAGCATTGTCCAGCGTTTGGACACTCAGCAAAAGACTGATGATTGAGTGTAAAGAGCCAACCCCACATGATACTGCAAGGTCTCAAGTACTATTTTGAATCAGGTAAACTAATATCTCCTGTACCTGTTCCAAACCACATAGTAATACATGGTCTCTGTTTCTTCAAAATCTGCTGGCTGCCCTCTTTGAAGTAGCATCTATCTTGGAGAAGATCTTGTATTTTCTCTTGGTCTCTGAAAAAGGATCCCAAACAAGTGGCAGGGACACACAGTTTTGGAAGCCCTTGCGTGTTTATCTTTACTGATAAGCCTGCAATCTTTGCTGCAAGCACATCAGCTTGTGTCTGCAGCAAAACCTTATTCCAGTCAATGCCTTCCTTGGAACAGGCTTCCTCAGAACTGGGCAATGCGTTTAACCCCTTAGCAGCCAATCTAAAGAGGCCCTGGTGTAGAAGACTTCTTTTTCCTGCTTGAAGATGTATTTTGTTTTCATACATCTTTAAAAAACAAGCAAGTAAGCCAGCCCTGCTTTATATATATATATATATAAAAATTAGCAGTGCAGATTATATACCTACACAAATACTGTCAGGGGAATTTACCCTAAGAGAGTTCCATCTCCCCAAACAGCCTCTGGTTCTGTGGAGATCAAAATTATTGTCCATTTAAAATAAAGGGATGCAGCTATCTAAATGGCAGGTTGAACACATGAAAATTCATTAAGAGGACTTGTTGAAATTATTCTGTCTAATTGATTGGAGGCTGTCATCAGGAGCTATTTGGATTCCTAGAATTGGAGAATCAACCATAATTCTAAGACATCTGATCCTTTTCTAGTAGGTTGACTAAACCTGCTCATGCAGCTTTGTTCATACTTGAATTCTCAGTTCACGCATACACACGGATGCCAAGGGCAAATATCCAGAAAGTCACTAGGGATCTCCCAAAGCTGACACGCCAAGAGCTTGGACAGCCTGAAAATTACAAACAAGTGGCTTTTCTCTGACAGCAGGTTCCATTTATTTCCTCCCACTTGCTCTTTCCCCATCTCCTTCCTACACCCCTGAGTCAACCTTCACCAGGCGAGTTTCAGTTAAGCATGTGCTTTGCCAGAGGTGTTTTTAAATTATGGTTTGAAAAGTTTATTTATAGTACACACGCACAGTGCATGATGCTTTCAGGGCTTCTGGAGACTTCAGCATGTCAGGCATGACTTTGCCAAGTGGAAGGAACATGAATTCATCAACTGACCCATAGAAAACCACCTCCCTTGTGTCTATCTGCCTCTGTACTCTAACTGAAAAATTTTAGAGGAAGCCAACTGATCCCCACCCCCAGCTGATCTTTTGGCAAAAACAGCAGCCCGTGAGACAATATGATGATTCTACGAACAATTTCCCATTAGGGCAAGAGTTGGAAAGCAGTCCAATAAACAGAACGGGGTGAAACTTGCAGTCAAAGTTCACATGGTCCAGCACTCCCTGTGTCTGGCAAGCAGCAAATTTCATTAGGCTGTGTTTGTCCTAGATGGTTATACTTGACCCATGTGACTAGTTTCTCCTTTCATAAGAAAAGTGTAATGTGACCACAAGATCATTTCCCAGCAGAAAAGCACATATTTCCAGGAGCCAATCTCTGAGCTCAAGTTCTGACACTAAAAGATAGTCGTGCTAATGGTTTGGCTTTCCCATCTGAATGCAACACAAGTCGGGTTTTACTGCACAAACCTTTGCTACTGTAGGGAGATCCCACATTCTCCTTCCTGCTCCATATCTGGCCCGGGCAGTGAACATCCACTGGACAGGCCTTTCAAATCAAAGGGTATGTTCATGGCTGGTTTTAGGATGAGTTTAACTTTCCCTGTTCTGAAATGACGCAAGTTGCTGAAATATTGTTTCCTCAGCTACACAGTAAATAAAAACAGAGCAAGTTACTGACAGTAATGGCTCAGAAACCTCAATATTAGGAGGTGGCACAGAGGCATTCTGAGAGGAGAAGAAAAGGATGTGGTAGACAATTTGCTAATGCCCAGAAACTCTCTCTGCAAAAGCTACCTGCATGCCAGAATGCCTCGGGACAGGGCTGAGTCCATTGCTCTTTCCACAAGAGCAGCTTTTTCTAAATAAAGAGGTCTTTACACGCAGGACTGGGGAAACTTAATTCAGATTAACTGAAGTTGTGAATTTAAAGTGAATTAGCTAAACCACATTATATCTCTGTACAGTCCCACTCATTCAGTATCAAAAGGAACTTTAATTTAGTTTATCTCATTTTACTGAATTAAGAGCATTTTAATTCTAAGAATGTCCACGCAGGGGTTAGTGGGTTGAACAAAGAATGAAATTATATACTATGCTGGAGTCAAATGTGGCATAGGAAGTCTCCCCACTTCCGTGCTAAAGAACGTTCATTTCCCCCCCCACTTAAAAATAAGGTAATTAAAATTATAAATTCAATTTTTCTAATTATCTATGCCTACACATCTCAAGCTGCATTTAAAAAACCCCTACCTCTGGCTCTGCATATGCCTTCTGGTTCAATCTACCAGAGCATATGTGTTGCTTAAAAATGAAAATATCAGAAGGAAAAAGGACATTGATATCATAAAAATTGGGAAAAGACAACAGCACAAAAGAAACATTCATGGCATTGCTTCACATACAGAAAAAAAGAGACACCAGATCCCAGCCACAGCTGTGCAACAGAGTCTGCTTATGGACCTGGATCTAGATTTGGCCTCCACCATTTCCATGAGCTACTACTCTGATAGTTCTTAAGCTTTAGAATTGAGATTGTTGTGCTGTTCTTAAGCAACCGGGTATGTTTCGAGCTTACCTAAGCAGTACAAACCTCTTACAGCTTCATCAAGGGCCATACAACACCACAACTCAGCTAGCTGCATGGATACAACATTTTTTCATCAAAAGGGCTCAGCAAAAATCCTTTCACTGAGGAGAAATGGCAAGTAGTGACGAATTTTTACTCTCCACTTCGGTTTACCTAGGATTGCTGGGAGAGTTTGCAGCAAATCAGAACCATAGTCTACAGAGGTCCAGCTGGCACAGGGGAGACTGACCAACTGCTTGAAGTGACAGCAGTCTGGTAACTGTGGTTACTAAACAGGCTGAACCCCAAAGAACTTCCCCACAGAATACGTGCTACTTTCCATGCCACCCCTTTTTGAGTAGAAGAGGAAGTTAAAAAAGGATAAAGAATTTTTATTATAAATACTAAGTAAACAACACTCTGGCTCCAATGCAATCTTCCACAAGAAGGAAAACCAACTTCTCAAGCAAGTCAAGATTGTTAAACAGGAGATGGATGAAAGCATTGCCTCAGAATGCAAGGAAATCCCAGGCTGGCTGGTTGGGAAAGAATTAATAATACATAATTAAAAAAGCACTCTCCCCTTCCTCATCCCGAGGTGAATGCAGGTCCTGCATGATACTGACTTCTGCATCAGCACCAGAGAATGAAGCTATCGCTTGAGGTCTTTCTCATTGCTAGTCAGGCCTCTCTCCCTCTTGCTTTCAGTTGCTGGAGGCTATTTCACACCAGTCACCAGCAATGTTCCTATGCGGCAGGACACGCTGTTTGTATGTGCAGCTTGTGATGAAAGATTTAGCCACTGGAGAACGCCAGGAGGCAGAGAATTAGATAGTCGTTCTTATCTTGACTCACAACAGAGGTTCAGTGGTCCCTTACTGGTGACCTTGATTAAGCACCAATGGAGCCAACCCGCCTGCTCTTGTGTTCAGAAGGGAAGAGTAGGGAAGAGCTCAGATCACTCTTTACTGAACAGAGTAAATCCTGTGATTTGGTAATACCGCCTGGAACACAGTCTCTCAGGATCCCCTCCAGGAAGAGCTACTGAAAGACCAGGAGCATGTAGTATATTCATCAGGCCTAACACACAGGGAAGACATGAGACACAGCACGAAGCCATGTACAGCGCAGAAAGACTCCTATGCAGGTGGAGGTAGAAGGGACTGAGAGCAGAGGATGGAGGTGTGCAGAATGGAGCACCACAGAAAAAGCACGCAGGCAAACACAGTTTTGCCTTTAGCACACAAGACAGGCTGCTGACAACCGGCCATCGAGAAAAGCCAGCAGACAATCAAAACTAGCAAACAAAATAAACAGGAGGTGTGAATGACAGCTGCCCAGTGTGAGCACTGATCTACAGGCAATGATATCAGCGACACACTATGGAGCAATATCACACCTTGCTATCCCCGTCCCTCCAAAAGTTCAAGACTGGGGGACCACTCAAACACAGTGTGCAGTGGTGCAGCTGACCTGGGGTGTTCCTTGGCCCCCCATTCAAGAGGCAGGGAATCAGCAAGAATGGCCTAAGTGCAAGTATGTTGTATATGATAGAGAATACCCAGCTACACAGCACACTCATGTAAAGGCTAGAAACTCTTGCCTCAGGGCACAAGCCAACCACTAACTTCCTCTATGGGCAAGTTATTCCATAGTTGTTTGTTTTAGGAGTTCTTGTACCTTTCCCTCAAGCATCTGGTGTTTGCCTCTCTTGGAGAAAGGATGCCAGACTAGACAGACAGATCATGGCTTCTTTCTGGTATGGCAATTACTGCATTCCACCCTGGAAGGGGAAGAACACACTGGGGAAAGCGAGGAATGATAGATGGCAAGTTCCAATAACACACAGCCCCATTAAATAGCCTTCCCTCTCCATCTGGCCCTGCGCAGTCATGCCAGCAGCACGCCAGGAGCACACAGCAGCACAGCTTGGCCCTTTGCATTCTCAGGGAGTCCTGTGTTCAACTGCAGAATTTGGGAACAAAGCTGAGCACGGCTTGGCTGTCACCCTGGAAGTCCTCACGCATGCGAGAAGCAGGATGTTCCCATGCAAGTAAATGTGTTACAAAACCAGGGGACAGAGCAGAATTGTGGTCTGCAGCCCAAGATATTACAAAATGCAATATTAAAAAAGAAAAAACAGATCCCATTAGACACAATGGTCCCCCAGCATCAGGCTAAAGCAGTCACTTCCCTGTAGGATCTGTGCCTCTAGAGCTAAAAAAGAAGCATCAAAGTTAACCTACAGAACCAATTCCCTGCAACCTTTGGGTAAGTCAACCCGCTTCCAGCAGAACAGTAAATACCTGTATCAGCCAATGAACTAGGGGCTTGGGGTAGTGTTCATACTTGAGATGGGCATTTGCCAAGGCCTCTTTCTTCCTTCTCTGGAGCCAGAAGGCTCCCAAGCTCCCCAAGACAACTGCAATCTGGGGAAATTTAGACCTGCCTTTCTACCTAGAAGTTCTTCTCTCTGTTGACTTTGGCTCTGGGCCAGTTTAGCCTTCAATCCCAGGTATCCCAGTCTGTGTGTCAGAAGAAATTGCTAGCAGATACCTGTCCAGATTAGCTGCCCAGACGCCATCTCACTTGTGACCTGCTTCATGGACACCCTTCCTGAA